TTAGTTTGTAATTAGCTTGAACTGAAATGTAAAATTTGAGGCACTATAAATCTTTTGTGTGTATGTGTGCATGAGTGAATGCCACAGCTGCACAGCGACAACAAACGACCACACGATTGCCACTTTAAAACAAGCAATCAAACTGTGACAAAGTATGTAATTTTGAGTCCTACTCTTTCCATGTACAGAGTACAGGCCCATAATAATGGCCCCTAAAGTAGATAAACTTTAATGTGTGAAGAGAAAGAAGAACACATTGAAATTGAGTGACAAACTTGAAATAATTAAGAAACTAGAACGTGGTGTGAGCAATGCTGTTCTAATGGAAATATACGACATTGGAAAGTCTACAATTTATGATATAAAAAAGGCAAAGAATAAAATTCTAGAATTCACAGCTTCTTCTGAGCCTTACATTAAAATTGCTGAAAGAAAAAGTTTACATTGGCCCAAATTAGAAAATCTTGATAAAGTGTTGCACGAATGGTTTTTGTTAAAACGATCAAAAGGTATGGCAATTTCTGGGCTGATACTTATTGCCAAAGCAAAGTTTTTTAAGGAGCAAATGAACATCGAATCAGAGTGCACATTTAGTAATGGATGGCTTAGGAATTTCAAGACTCGTCATGGTATTAGACAGTTTGTTTACATTTTTGTCTAGTGTTGACTTTGTTTCTTTAAAACTGCTCGTTTTGATAAATGAAGCATGCTTTATTTGCTAATGAATAAACTATCAAAATGTACCTGTTCATCTCATCTTTATTCCTCCTTAAATTTTAGTTTTAAAAATACTGCCTGAGAATCCGGAAAATCCGAAAATCCGGACCTACCCAATCCCCAAGCAGTCCGGATTTTTGGACTTCTACTGTAATGTACTACATTTTTTATATCTTGAGCAAAATATATGATGCTAATATTCAAATTAATCTCTGTCTTGCAAGGATTTCAGCAATGCAAATTATATTATCGTAACTTTAGTCTGAGATATTATATAAAATAAACATAAAGAAATCGCCAATCTTTTGTCTGGGAACACAAGGAGGGTGGGAAGAGGGGGGGTGGAGGTGAGGTGACAGAATGTCTGCCGTTTGTTTGTTTATTTATTTGAGATAAGATTTGACAGTTGGCGCTGAAGGCCTGCCTGCGTGTTTATTTATCATTATTTAAGAGTGACTAAGCTCTTCTCATAATTTGCCACCCAAACGACCTGGGTGAATATAACTTACATTGGAGGGATTCTTGTAAGATAGTAATTTATTTGAATACCTGTATAAACAAGCTATATTTGCAATAGACATAACAATTTTAGTACCGTAATCATTTAGTACTTGTACAATACAGGTTTGCACTTAGGTCCATTGTTACTGTACAATATTAACTAAATTCACTAGATAACATACGCCTGGCAGCACAATCTATAAGAATACGCGATGCATACGTGACTGTGCCCACTCTAGGGCCATTTAGGTTCGCTAGGTCCCATTATTTGAATGTTTTTTTTTTCAATTTAAATTTTATTTGTTTATTCCTTGATAGAGGAAGCGGGGATCCTAGTGCTGTCACTTGGTACCCCTGTACCATAACACCAGAAGCAACTGGCCAGTGTCACAAGTATATACAGTACAGTACAGTCATCCCTTGGTTATAGCGCCTAATTGGGACCCCGCCGATAACGAAAGTACAGAACCTATGGGATTTATTCTAATTGGTTCCAGGCACCCAAGACCAAACCCCAAGTAACCCATTTTACGACCATTTATACCCACTAAATATATATATAATGTTATGGTAAATATCATAAACACACATAGGCATGGCTAGGTTTATTACAAAGTGATGAAAAGGGTACGCTTAATACTGTAGTCCACAAAACATGTAGCTATGCTTTTTTTATTTGGTCCCCCGTCATACGAGTCCGTTTTCACTCGCATCAGGACGCCTGAGTCCTCCGTTTTCTCTTAATCTTAAGAGTGCACCAGAGACTTCACTATACTTAGTAATGCCACAGAATTTGAAATTGCAACCCCAATTGCAACTGGGGTTGCAATTGTTGAGGCAACTAGATATGTCTGATTACAGCAAATGTGTTATTGTCAATTTGTAGGTGAAAGATTTTATCCTCAATAGATATAGGTTAACATTACACCTCGAGGCAAATGTTTAAAAATAGCCTAAGATAGGAAGCGTACACATAATATCTGACCAGTATGGGGAGGATCATCTTGTCTCCGTCAGGGGGTCGTGGAGTGGTGGTCCAGCAGGCGTCACGGATTTTGGGGGGGGGGAGGGGGGGCACGGACGATGCGTGGGGGGGGGCACGGACGTATATGCTATCGGACGTTGTTCGGTCAGACATTAACCGGCGCACAAAAAAGTTACTCATTCATATTCTCGCATGGTACATTAAGGGGTTTTATCATATATTCACAAGGTATTATTTCTCTTGAGCAAGAAACCATGATTTCTGTTCGGAAACAGATGATCGTTTGCGCTGATTAGGAATGCGGAGTCTGTTATTTTCAACTACTTGAAGGACTTCTTGAAAGCTCTCCTCATCCCTGGCAACATTAAGAAAGTCATGGCAATGTTTTACACCACGCTCTGCAGCCTCATTGACGACCTGAAGCTTGTCCACAACCCGTTTCATGTTCAGGTAGTCGTCATGATCCGCCCATTCACTGGCTGGACTGTGGAGAAACTGATAGGGCATGCCTAAAATGGTGAAGAACCGGCTTGAGCCAGGTCCAATTAGGTCCACCAGGGCAGTGCCACTTTCTGGGACAGGGGGAAAGATATGGCTTTCCATAACCCCCATGATTGAGCCCCACTCTCTTAGTAACTTCAGTGCCTTCATGGCAAAGAAGGGCCTTCCTCATCTCCTCTTTTGTCCTTTCTTGTACTTGGGACGAGAACAAAGCCAGTGGGGCCAACTTCTCAGTTAAGTACCAAGTGTGTCTACCGAGTGCCACACGTGCTTTGTCAACTATTGTGGCGTCATATGGGGCAAATTCAGCCAAGGTTTCGACCAAATTCGAGTCATTCAGTGGCGCACTTGCTGGAACGGGGCAAACAATCCACCATGGGACATAAACAGCGACTGTGAACACAGCAAACTGTTCTAACTTGGGAAACTACTCTTTGATCTGGCCTGACAAAAGAACAATCTTGAGGGTATAGAGCAGTTTAGCCATCCACCTTGCTTTGTGACGTGCGCCGGGGTAGACCATCGTGAAGTTCACTGGCTCGGATCCTTTAGTTACAAGCAGCAGACAAAGCTCTACCAGCTCCTTGTAGTCGCCACGTGTAAATGGTTGGGCTAGAGATTCACGGAAGAAGTCAGCCATCTCCTGCTGGCGCTCCTCAAACACTCCAGGCATTGCGGGGTAGTGGTATTTCTTTTTTTCATTGTACACCAGTTGAGAGAAATGGGTCCTGAACCTTGAAATGCAATTATTTGGATTATTGTATTTCATACTAATCTATAATATTGTTTTAGGGGTATTAAGATTGATATGATCGATCATTTGCTTGGTGTTAGTATACCTTATAAGTCTAATAAAAGAAATTGCACTAAATTTGTTCATTAGATAATAATATTCCTTGTTATTTTGTAAAGCCGACGGTGCTAGCTCAAACATGCACCGATCTCCAAGAAAATTTACAGGGGTGTTTCCTAGATAAATACACAACACTAAAACTTTGAACAGCATTGTAGGACCATCTTTTTATTTTTGGAGGGCAGCGGTCACACCCTTGCGTATACTGTACTACTACTATTGTCATTAAAGTACACTTGGGATGTTTTGCAACATCCACTTACTATACTTTGTGAACTTCAAGACATAATATTCCTTATTTCATGAAAGAAGTAATTTATGTAGCCATATGAAACTTAACTATTACGGCTTAAGGGTTGTTATAGAACAGTGTTTCTCTCCTTTCTAAGATTTTTGTCATTGTGATGTGGAAGATTTGTATTGCTTTTGTTTCATTCAACATGTAGAACAAATTGAAAAGATAAAAGTTTTGACTGCTGGATCATAGTGTGGGGAGAGGTTCCGATCATGAAACCTACCAGGACTTTTCAGGAGACAATTGATGGTGATGGGATTCATAAATTACTGTATCAACCCAAATACCCGGATGTGATGGTGGTATATAAACAATACAATAAAGAGGAGTCTCATAGATTTGCCTTCTGTGTAGGAGAGAGGGAGGGAGGTATTGAGTGTATTGAAGGGGGGATGGCAGAATACTTGTACTGTATGAGGTGCAGAAAATACTGAGGTGATGTTTGGTGCTGGTAAAGAAGGTACGGTAATATCTCCGTTAGCTGGAATCCCTCAGACCTGGAACTCTCCGATAGCTGGAATTGAAATTTTCTCATAAAATCGTTCCCAAAGCCGGAATTTTCCAGAAAATTCTGGCTTTGGGAACGATTTTCCGAGGGGCACATTTTCCGGCAAATTCCGAGAAAAGTTTCCCGATACCCAGATATTTACGGAAAATTCTGAGGATGGGGGATTCTTTTCCGGCTTTGAAAGAGTCGTCCCGTTACCCGGAAATCTCTCATTCCCGGAAGTGCTCTGCACCAATTGTTCCGGCTAATGGAGATATCACTGTACTGGTGCAACAGCGAGGTAGAGGACAACAAAATGTTGATGGGATTGAGGACATTACTAAGGAAAAGTTAGATGAGCAGTTTAGTGCATGATGAAAAGAAGATCAGTAGGTATGGTGGCAGGAGTTTAATGGGCAGTATGTGTGTTTCTGGATATATAAGTAGCTCAGTGCCAGAACAGATTTGTTTGCATTGTCCTAAAGAGATCCACCACTTGTACCTGATGGGGGAAGAATGAACTAAACATTTCACAATGAAAATATGTTTGTCTGTTCATGGCACTTATCCTATTCTGGAGCTGTGCTTCTCATATTTTAGAATGGTTAAAATACTAGATGAGAGCAGAGATCATCCCAAGTTTGCCGTACTGTACTTGCAGAAGACGTGCCGGTAGTAGTCAGAGATCGGGCGGTGGTCGTCAGGGTAACGTCGGCCTTGCCCAAAGTGTACCTAACAATCAACGCGGCGGTGCCGACATTGGCGGTGTTGGCAAAACTTCTCAGTCTTCACTAAGTGAGATGAGACGGTCTCCTCAGCCAACCAACACAACCACCGCCACAACCACAACCACCACCGGCAGCCCGGAGCCTCAGTACACCGACCCAAGACAAAGTAAGTTATTATGCATGACATATTTTGTACCGGCAGTTACTGGTAGCTGGGTTGATCCCATTGGACAGTTGAAGTAGTAAATTGTGATAAAGCCTTTATTTTTTTTTATGTATTTCCCTTTAATGTTTAAGTTTGTTGAGATGTGCTAACACAAGTTTGTTGGTTTATTTTATAATGTACAGTACAGTATAGGCACCAACCATCAGCTGTGTCACAGCCGCTATTGAATAATCCTCCCCTTTCAGCTGTGCTTCAGCCCCTAGGCCCAGTAATCAGACTTACATTCTGAAATAACAGCTTTGGTTAACAGACCAGAATCATGTAGACCAGGGGTGTGGCCCACTGGCTGCTCCAGCAGCACCTTGAGCAGCTAAGAGCCTAAGACAGTAGCACTTGAAGTAAAAAGTTGAGACTATTTGTATCGGATAATACTCTTTTATTCTGTTGACTCTTATCTATTCTCTTGAGTATGTTCAAAGGCAAGTGCTTGTAGGGTGTTTTGTGAATATCAGTCCAGTATGTATCTGGTGTTAGAGCAATGGCCTGCTAAATGCGTTGTTAACCCTTTGACTAGTGGGGGTTTCCCTCGGCAGAATAAAATCGTCTGGTGTTTGCTAGAATAAAATATTCAGTGCAACAGCACCAATGAAAGAGCAATTAGAGATAGTTTCAATGGTTATTTGTGGTTCTGAGCATGTCACTATACGAGTTGCGAGATGGGCCGACCACTGGCCGCGTATCGGTATTAGACGTGATAGCTCTGATGTGGCGGGCTCTTGCTTGGGCAGTCACACGGGTACTAGTCCAGCATAGTAGCTCAAAGCAGTTGGAGCGTTGCAAATATTAAAAGCATTGTCCATTGTTTTTACTTCAGAGTCCATAATCATGTTATCAAAGAAAAGAACAATTAATGACGAGTGTCGGGTGGTACTGGAAAAGTGGGAAATCTTGTACTTTTTTGTCAGTCATTGAAAAAGCAGCAGTCAGTATTTAAGAGTGTTCATCAAGTCAGTGATGCTGCAGTTAAGGCAAGTTACAGGATTGCCTATGAAATAGCTGTCATGGAAACTTTTTTCTGAAGGGAACTTTATAAAGAAATGTATGTTGATGGCTACAGAAGATATTTGCCCAGAAAAAGTCAAGCATTTGCAAACATCATCCTCTCAAGAAATACAGCTGCCAAGATAATTAATGAATTATCAGAGAATATTAACAGTCAACTCAAAGACAAAGTAAAATCCTTTACTGCATTTTCTGTTGCAATTGATGAAAGTACTGATATAACTGATGCAGCACAACTTGCAGTTTTTAGACCCGGTGTTGATGAAATATGCAGTTAACATAAGAGTTTGTGGAACTGGTATCAATGAAAGGAACAACAACAGGCGACGACATCGTCATGTGTTTGGTAGGGGCACTGGATGAATTTGATGTTGACTTGGTACAAACTGTGAGTCTGGCTACAGATGGAGCACCACAAATGGTGGGTAGAAAAGCTGGAGTGGCAACAGAATTAAAAGAAAAACTACCACCTGTGAACCCAAATCATCAATTTCATAATTTGTATTGCATTATACAAAGAGAAGTGTTGTGCAATAAAACATTAAAGATGGATAATGTCATGGATATCGTTATAAAGACAGTGAACTTTATACGAGCACGAGGTCTGAACCACAGACAGTTCAACTGCTTTTTGGAGGAAAAGGAGAACACACATGGACTGCCATATCTCACTGATGTTTTGCTGGTTAAGTCAGGGAGTTGTACTGCAGTAATTTAATGAATTGCGTAGTGAAATACAGATGTTTATGGAACAGAAAGGAAAGGATGTAAATGGGTTCAATATCTAGCCTTCATGGGGGATATTGCAAAGGACTTAAATTACCTCAACACAAAGATGCAAGGTTGTACTAAATTGGTAACAGTTTATGACTGTACGTATTCATGCCTTTGAGATGAAACTGCATTAATCTTTCACACTTTCTGACCCTAAAGTCCCTGCAAGGCACATCTGGGCTTCATGTTGATACCAACACAGAAAAGTACTGCATCAAGATTTCCAAGTTAAGGAATGAGTTCCAAGAAATATTTGCTGACTTTATAATTATACCCTGAGAAAATTTTTCCATTTTTCAGAACCCATTCTCTGTCAGTGTTAATGAGGTACCAGAACATCTTCAGTTAGAATTAATTGAGCTCCAGTGTGATTCTGTTTTGAGGAACCAAGTTTTTGAATGTCAATGTTGCCACATTTTATCATTATGCAAGACCAAATTATCCCAGGATTAAGTGTTTTGCCCCAAAGATTATGTTCATGTTCAGAACAACATATGTTTGTGAACAGCTCTTTTCTGTAATGAACATTAATAAATCTCGGCTTCGTTCTCAACTTAATGATGTGTACCTGAATTCAGTACTGAAGGTTGCTGTAACTCAGTCATTAGCTCCAAACATTGATCCCTTGGTCCATACCAAGAGGTGCCAATTATCAGGCAACAGCAGTAGCAGGCAATAAGACTAATCAAGGTAACTATATATTTTACAACAATTAGCACAAGCAGGGTTATTTATTTATTTTATTTTTTGAAAGCTCGCCCTTAGGCTGGAGGGCTTGTCCCTCACTCTGGAGTAGACTAAGACCTCACCCCTCAGTGCCTCTAGTCCTGTTCCTGTATCCACCTCCCTCATTTTGCCTCACTACTCCCTGAAGTGGTGATCGCGAAGTGCTCATAATTATGTTACATGGCTTCATAGTGTGTACTCATGTTAAATCTGGCTCATGGTAGCTAATGAGTTTGACACCCCTAATGTAGACAATCCTTTGCCACCTCCAGCTGACAGTTGACATTTTGTATAATTACACTGAGAATTCACCCAAGGAAATCATTCATTAAGTTGTATAAAATGAACCAGGAATCAAATAAATACCAGCTTATTATATTTATAGTAAACATTAGTACAGACAATAACACTGCATGATCCTGTGATGCAATTAATTTAGTAGTTTATCTATCTTAATCCCATAATATGGCTCTTCCTCCATTCACAAAAGTATCATCTATTATTCACCTTGAATACTGGTGAGTAAATTAATACCCACCTATAGGATACACACTGGTTGAAATAAGATTATACTGTAGTCACTTTCCTGGTCTCACATCCACACCCTGTATATACCACGTAGGAAGAGAAGCTCCAAAACATCAACAAACAATACATATTTTACAATATGGGTACCTAGTGACAGCACTAGGATCCCGCTTCCTCTATCAAGGAATAAACTATTGAAATTGAAAAATTTAAATATTTTACAAATAGAATTGTGGGGGTGCTGGTGGTAGAGTGGTACCGCTCTTGCCTTCGCAAGCGAGATGTCATGGGTTCGATTCCCGGGCCGGTGGAAGTTGTTTGGACATACTTCCTAGCCCCCATTAGTCCCTGTTCACCTAGCAGTAAAGTAGGTACCTGGTGTAAATCGAAAGTTGCGAATTCGTATTTAGGGACAAGTTGTTGGAGCTTCCAATAACTTGATGACATAAACCATTGACTCTTTAGGCTTCTATGCCCTTTATGCCCTTGACTCTTCAGGCTTCTACGCCCTTAACTCATGAGACATAAGGCAAGCATGAACTTAGCATGCTTCCCTGTTGGGCACTGTAAATGTTTCTGTGCTTCACTTACACAAGGATGTAGGGGAGTGCCCAATAAAAAAAAAAAAAAAAATAGAATAGTAACTCAAAACTTCTTTATATAAGTACAGTATTACCCCGCCTAATGCGGTTTCACTGAGCGCGTTTTACCGTATACACGGTGCCTCGCCAGAGCTGAACTTTCACTTAAAGCGGGTTTTTTCCACATATACGCGGTGAGTGTCCGGCTCGAGATGCTATTTTTAGATTTGCCCCACCCGCCACCCGCCACCCTGCCTGACTGCCTGTTTTAGCTCATAAAATTCATACAAATTACCCGGCCAGAATATAATTTACATTGCTGGAATTCTTACAATATGATGATCATTTTGAATATAAACATCATAGATTTTGCATTAGACATACAAATTTTAGATAAAATCTTTACTCTGAGTAAATATGTTATTTTTTGTGCAAAATATATGACATTTGTATTCAAAATATTCCTGGTCTTACAAGGAATCCAGCAATGTCAATTGTATTATCCTAACTTTAGTTTGAGGTATTATTTATTAAAATTTAGTGGTTTTCCCCCAAAAATTTCTCAGAGAGGGAAGAGCCAGCAGTGTAGTGTGAGAAGAGGGGGAGGGAGTTGAGTCCATTATTTGAATGGACATTAACTTGGCGACTCTATTTCTCTTAAGTATTAATTGTGTGCATGTACCATCATAAAATTAAGATGTTATTTTTACTACAACATAGTTATGTGTCATCAAAAAGTGGAGTTTGGGGGTCGGGCCGGTTTCTATTGGAATTAATCCCATATGTTCTGTTGTTCACTTAACGCGGTTTTCACTTAACACGGTACCCTCTGGGTTTTATTGACCGCATTAAGTGGGGTACAACTGTACTTAATATTATATGATTACAAAATATTGTAAATTATATAGAACCAATGTAATTCACATCCAGTGCAAAAAGTAAACTAATTACTACAACAGATATACTGTACAGCTTTGATATTTGCTTCAGAGAAAACTGCTCTTACAACAGTGACTGATACAAAGTGAATATACAGCACACATCTTAATGTTATGTAAATACATAGACATATGTAACAGCTGTTATATGTGAAGGCAGTGATGACATCCTACCCTTCAGTGGGCTCCTCAACATTGGCCTGAATTGCTAATTGAGCATTTTTTTATTTTAATCTGTTGTTTCAGAGTCCATACAGTGAGAGGAAACACTTGAATTGTATAACAATGAGTGTTTATATATTGTGGTGTTGCAGTAGCCAAGCGGAAACCCCAGTTTACCAAGCTGTGAATGTGTACCTAAATGTACTTGGGGAGTATTGAAGGGGGTTGG